CCTTTGCCATTTATTCATTGCACTGGAAGTGGCTGGCTGAAGACGAACAGAAATTAATGCCTTTTCCGCAGCTTGCATAGTGGCATAGACCACATGTGTGTGCAGAACTTTTTATCCTTTCTTTGAAACCAGTGGAAGGCAATAGGTGAAATCGATTGATTGGGAAATCAAGAATAAGCAGTTTGGAAAACAGAATTTTCACACGGACAACTTCTAGTAGAAGCAGACCTTGTCAAACGAAAGAAATTTTTAATTACGGAAGACAGCCTAGAATATTGCAGGCTACCATATTTTCTATTTTGAGGTCTCCCCTAATGGAAGTGATATTTCAGCCGAGTGGCTGTGTACTTGCCAAGCGTTTGTGTTTTAGGGTCAAATGCAAGCAGCAGGTAGGGAATATTGGTTTGGGGAATAAAGCGTTGGTCAGCAGAATATGCTTTCGTAAGGAGCTCAGCGTTTCTTCCCTTTTTCCTAGCTAGTTCACCTTGTTTTTGCCCTTAGTAGTTATGACGTTTGTTGTCGTCTACTGGTCGCCGAAATCGCCGTCCATGTCTACGTTTTTTAGCTTTAGAAGTTGTTTCTGAACAGACAGAACAGCACACCAGCTGTTGTATACTTGGTTCTCTCTGTCCTTTGAAGGTTTACACTGTCGTCACCCGGTAGCGACATCTAGCTGTGAACTTCACAGATGGGTGCTGATAAAATTCATTTTGTTGTTAATTCTACAGGAATGCCCAAGTCTCCTATACGCTGGATGAGTCAGCAAGCAGTATGCTTCATTTCCGCCTGGACTAAAATCGGCTCAAAAAATTATTTCCTCCCCTGTGCAAGTCTTCAAAGGAAAAAGACCTATGTAATTTAATAGCTTGCTTCGATAATATGGCAAGCTAAATTTTAAATTTATTATGTTTTTTCTGGGGAAAGATAATCATAAACTTTGAAATAAGCTTTGTTTGATGTTTAGAGGTGTGTTGAAACAAACTTCAATATGGCTACGTGGATATCATTTAGCAACCTTCTCCTCTGTAATCGATGTTGGGGTTAGTGGGCAGATTCCCAAGAGATGGATCCGTTTTCACTATCTTCCTGCTAGAAACGCTTAAGAAATGATGCGACCGTTTGCTACGATAAATGACTTCTCGGATCGTAGGTAGACTTGCACCAAATTTTAGCAGAGATGGTTTGGTTTAGAGTTAGAGTCAATATTATGAAGTCAGTATTATGAGTATTTGAAGTCTCAGGGTAATGTTTATGTTTTGGTTAATATTGTTGTACAGAGTGCATTTTAGGTTCTCTTTGGGGTTAAGTTTATGCCGCGGGAAAAAGTAATCCTAGAATTTAGGACAAGGCCACGTGTGTTTATTTCGGTCCCAAACTCACTAAACCCCATCGAAACCCAATCATAATGTTGAACCTACCTCTCACTCTAAGCTCCGCGAAATTTAGCACAAGTACATACATTCCTATTTCAGTGTCCTAGAAGACATTCTACATATCTGCCAGTGTGTTAATTGCAGCTTTATAATTTAATTGGAGATCAATCTCTAATTTGAAGTAAATCAGAATATTCTGCGATAGGTAAGAGCAGACTAAAAATTAATATGAATATTTTGGCCGAAGTTCATCAGTAACTGTGGGATAATCGCGTGATATTCAAAAATTACCAACGGGCAATCAGCAGTATAACCCACGTAATTAGTTACCCTATTTTTAGCACAGATACTAGTTAAAAGCCCAGACATACCCGTTTCACCGATATTTTGCCGCTGGATGTTGGGGCTGCAAGGCGTTCCGTTCATCACGGGGTCCCCTAACATACAAGACAGGCTGGGGTACCCACTGAGCAGTCGAGCCTCTCGCATTTCTGCTACGTACCAGCAGAATATCAGTGGAACACGTGTCTAGGCTTTTAGCGTACATCTGAGCTGCCAGTATGGTAAATAATTATGGAGTAGTACCTGCCTATTTTTGTCATAGTCTTGAATTTTAAATAAGTACATTAATGTCCATCCCCTTATAGGCATCTAAAGATGTACGGTAATTTGCTGCTTAATTAGAACCAAAAGGCCGGAAGTGCTCACCGTCATAAAGATACTTTTGGCCGATAACGAACTCTGATGTCGCCTGTGCGCAAACTTACCTATTTCTCCGAGCTTATTGCTTTGTCTATTTTCATTCTGTTATAAAACGAATTGCCTGCTATTTAAATCATCAAAGAGAGTATATGAACATCGCCGCTATGCCTGCTCAAGTAACGCTCTACTATTTCATGAACGACCGATTTCAGAGATTTTTAGGTCCAAATGTTCACTTCTTCCTTGGAAAGGATTTCATATGGCGCTAGACGTCAAACCGTATTAATCCACCCATGTGAGTAATTTTTGTGGTTTTTTTAAGATACCAATCCCTTCCTTCACAAAAATTTCCCGTTTTAACGACTGAGACGTCATACTGGCTCAAACATGAAGGCTTTTAATGCGGCACACTGAACTGCTCATTGAACCACTAATCTTCTAACTGAGATTGACCAATTCGTCTGAATTTATATATTAATAAAGTCCGTAAAACTCAGTTAGGTTCAATTGGAATTTCCGCTTCATTTGTTCATGTTAGAGTGTTATCCTCAAAAAGAAACATGTTGCGGGTTCGAACCTCGGATGATCTGCACTTGTAATTTAGTATGACTGGCTGATGACAGCTTATAAGCCGAAAATGGCCATTCTGATCTCCATTATCTTTGTCTCTTCCACCTTTTCGTCCAACAAAGTACTCATAATCACTGTAAATACCTCAAATACGTTTAACGGGAATATTTTCCTACTAAATTCGGCATATTTTTGCAGTAGGAAGAAACTGTCTTATGGTTCCTTCAAACAGCTTCCTTCAGCTTATTAATCATATTTATGACCAATAAGTTTATTTTTAATTTTAACGACACCGACACAATTTTGAAGATTAGTAACTTTAAAAAACCTGATATTTCGTTACTGTAATGTAGCAGGTCGTCAAATTCAGACCCATGCGTTTATTTTGGTATTTTCCTTGATTGATTTTGTAGAACAGAGTTGCCATAGGAGAAGTATAATGCTAGTAAAGCATAAACTTAAATGTTAAATTAATTGACTTATATAATGTGGAAAGGCTCTACAACTGTCTTTAACAAGTCGTGGCGA